CTTCCTAGTTTCTTAGTTTGTGATCGAATAGCTTCCAAATTTCGCCATAATGATACCTATATGCTCACAAGTAATAAACAATAGCTAGAAGAAAAATTTCTCCACGGGGAAAAATTCAGGTCCGAAAGGGTTAATTGTATTGGTGTCAGTTCATACATCTCCTTTATTGAAGAGCTCCTTTATTCAAAATTCTAGAGTGTCAGCTGCAAGAGTTTTTCTGTACTTTTTCACTTTCTTTAACTAACCCTCTCTTGTAAGGCAACCACCAGCACAGTGCAGCATTCTAGAAGGGATCTGACATAACAGAGTAAACAACCGTTCTAGGCAAGACGGTTTGCGAACTCGGAAAGCTCTAAATGAATATCCCTACTATATATAATGCGCTAAGTCTGTCTGTCTGTCTGTCTGTCTGTCTGTCTGTCTGTCTGTCTGTCTGTCTGTCTGTCTGTCTGTCTGTCTGTCTGTCTGTCTGTCACGAAATTCCGTATTAAGCGGACAACAACCTACTGGGTCCAGGTCAAGTTTGGGATGGGTGTACCATATCTCGAGAAGTAAAAAACATACAGGGTGGTCCAAAATTATGAGGACCGCGTGCGCGCGCAGTCATATCCACTTTTTTCCGTATCGCTCCATTTTCATCTCTTTTCTGTGCACTATGTGAAAGGGTACAATGTCTTCTTCCTAATGAAACCAAATTTCATGAAGTTCTCAAAACTAGTGAAATAACTACTTCACTTTGAGTCAGTCCTCAAATTGAACTCACTAGGGGCTCTGGCACGTTACATCTAGCAGCAGTCTAACCTATCAGGGAAGCCCTTATGAGCAACAGTTCAACTCTTCAATAAGTTTGGAACCACCACAGATGGAAAATTCGGGGACTCGAAAGTTACAGTTACCACCAGGATAATTATCAGATGCAGAAACTAGGTCTCCCCTTGTCGACTTTCGTACTCCCAAAATGAAAAAATTGATGTGAAAACCCAGCCAGACACTCTAAAGACTCCACATCTGTAGTGGATAGAAAGCCACTCGAGTAGTCTACTTGGGACTTTTACAGGACCGAGCACCCAAGAATAAAGCAAAAATCCTCTAAAAAGCGATTTTTCGAGTTCGTTGCTTTCGAAGAATTGTTACAATGGAACCTTCCACCTAATAGCTCTAGATTTCTGTATTTCACACCCTGGATGCAAGCGCAAATGCAACACAAAAGTTTGATTCCCTGAAGAAGGCAGAGCAGAAGGCCTGGAAACATTTGGACACGCCTTAGTTGCGTGCCACCGCACGCGCCATCCCCCTCATCCGAAGGCTCGTGTTAACGGGGCAAGTGGCAGATCTCAATTCTATTCTGGAATTACTTTGAGGTAAGAGTTACAAATACTTCCCAGAAGTTGGTTTGTTCCATCAAGCTACTATGCGTTTTTAACGACACAATGTCTTGGTCCTCATAATTTTGGACCACCCTGTACATTACCTAAGCGGAGCCCCGCCCACAGTGGGCGTGGCGTGCATCGAAATGAGTGGTACTGAGGACCATGATTTCAAATTCAGTCACAAAACAGCCTCGAGACTGGGGACAAAAGTGGGTATAGGTGTGCGTTGGTAAGCCAGATCGAATTGGGAGACCCACCCTCGGTGGGCGGGGCGTTCTCTAAAAAAGCGGTGCTCATGAAAATATTCATAACTCGGTTAGGAGAAAGCCTACAGAGCAGAAACGAAATTAGTGCAGGGGAGCAATGCCTAAGGTATTTCCAGCACGCATGATGTGAACGGAGGCCCGCCCACAATGGGCGGAGCGTGTCGTGAAGCGGACAGCGTTTTCTACAAGAGCTCATAAATCGGCTCCGAGATGACTTAGAGACCGGAAAACAGCGGATAGAGGTCAGGAGGGGAGGGGAAGCTAAATGTCAGGGATGGGCGTGGCTTACATCAAAGTGGGCGGAGTTTGCAATTAGGCTTATAACTCGGTTCCTAGGAGTCCCGGAGTCCGGGAAAAAAGCGTATAAGGGTTGGCAGAGGGAAAGGGGTCAACCGTTGTTGGCGGGCGGCATGCACCAAAGTGGGCGGGGTTTGCCACGGTACTTCATAACTCGGTTCCAATAAGTTCCAGAAGAAGAATGTT